CAGTTGGGGAAGCTAGCAAAGCAAGGTTTGCAACATTATCATCTCCACTAAATCCAAATTTACCTGTTCCAGAAATTGTCTTAATACCTCCCTTAATATTATCAATCATTCTAATCCTATTAGTTTCAGATTCCGAAATGACCATCTTGTTGTCTGTAGTTAACAGAATTTTTGTGGGATTTACATTAGCATAAAAGACATTCGATCCATCTGCAATACCTCCTACAAGTGGTTCCGTTCGACCATTTGATAAAACTAAATTTCCTGCTGTATAAACAAAATATGGCACTTCTGAGCATAAACCAATCGGAGATAGTATTTTTTCATGGAAGGATGAAATTACACCTCCATTAATTATACGAATTTTGTTATTAGCAGTATCAGCAATATAAATAGATTGGTCAATGACATATACCATACTTGGTAGGAAGAGTTTTGCCTGTGTTGCAACCATACCATCACCATTATATCCTTATTCTCATCAATATTCATTAATGTATTAGAAACTTACCTGATTCACCTGTTCCAGCAATGATTTCAACCTTGAAATCATAATAAACACACAATATTCTGTGATTATAAGTATCTAATATAAATTAATGTATCCTAACTAGTAGGAAAGAGAAACTTACCTGCTACAAAGAGATTATGATTTGAAACAAACAATCCAAATGGTGAATTCAATTGAGTTTCTTTAGGATTATTGGGAACAAGGCTAGATCCAGTAATTCCATTTCCTAACACTGTACTAATAGTTCCATTGAAAAAAGATCTGACTCTATGATTGAAAGAATCTGAAATGTATAAAATTTCAGAATCATAGAATACATATTTTGGTAAGTTGAGATGAGTTTCTAATGGATTCAATCCGTCTCCATTAAATCCATTAGTACCACTTCCAACAATTGTGGTTATTGTTCCATTAGGAAATATCATTCTAATTCTGTGGTTTCCACTGTCAGCAATGTAAATATTACCAGAATTCTTATCAAAATGAACTGAATGAGGTTTGTTTAATTGAGCATTAATTGCCAAACCTCCATCACCAGAAAATCCCTGAAATCCAATACCAGCAATAACCTCTACCATTTCGTTTGAGGTATATTTGAGAATTCTATGATTATCAGTATCCGCAATATAAATCGTAGAAAATGAATCGAGACAGAATATTCCTGTTGGATTTTTCAAAATTATTGAGGACGGAGGACCTTTCTTTCTTAATCTATCACCAGTAATGGAACCAGCATATAAACAACCGTTTCCTTTAGATACATCTATTTTTTGAATCATTTTAGTTGATGAAACGTATAAATCAGAATTTCTGAGTTGTAATGCATTGGGAATGAATTTTGAACGGATAAAACTCTCATTAGTCTCTTCAGAAGAATTCCAACATGAAACATTTGAAAATTTGTCTATTAATGGAATGGTAGACACAGTTCCAGTTGTCAAATCCACTTTCTTTAAATTAAATCCAAAATTAGAATCAGCAATTAATAGTTCATTACTTGATTGATTGAACGCAATAGCAGCTATTGAATCAAACACTCTATTTTGCACATTAGTACCATCAATAATAGCTCCATTAATATTTAAAATTGGATAAACTTGTTTAAGGGACAAATCAGCTTTCATTATAGCTTGTGCATGAAAAATATGATTTGGTGAGAAAAAAGTTGGTGATACAATAGATGAATCGAACAACAAAATGGTCGAAATATTCCCAGTAGTTTGATTAATCACTTTCCAATATCCTAAATTTGAAAGATAAATTGAATCGTCAATAGGAGAAACTGCAAATCCATACACAAAATTAAGTTTAGCATCCAAAGCAGGTCCATCATTGGTATTTCCATCAAATTTTCTCCCTTGAATGACAGTCATCCACCATGTTTGTAAATTAATCTTGAATATTGAGAATAAATCACATCCATACAAGTATCCCTTGTGATATCTTATATTCGAAATATAAGTTGAAAACATTGTTTCGTTTGAAAAGCCATCTTTCTTGGTTAGTGTAAATCCATCTCGCAAACTCATAAACTTAATAATTCCGTTTAAATCAACTCTATATAGGTTTGATTCATCACAAATATACAAGTTTCCAATAGGATCCCTAGAAATTGAACCAATTTTGGTAAAAATGGTATTCGAAAGTGCTGAACCTTCCTGAATGGTAGTGGAAGTTCCTAACTGCTTGGAAAGAAGAATTAAATTTCCATTTTGAAATTTGTAGATCTGCTTGTTGGTAGCAATATAAATAGTGTCGTATGAAGTTTCGTCCACATGAAAACTAGTAATGGTGAGATAAACGGTAGTTGCACTATTGATATCACCAGTAGAAACCGAATTCTCGGTCATACAACCAGAATAACAACCAACCAATAATTTTCGATCACCAGAAGTTTGATTAAATTTAAAAATACGAAAAGAAGATTCCTGAAAATAAATAATTTCTGGCTGATTTTCGGATTGGTATGCATTGGCAAAAGCTGTTGAAAATTTGCCTACACCACTGATAGGTTCCCATCTATACGCAACCAGTTTCGAATAACCAAGCTGAACAAACAAGAATAAACTCAGCAAAATGAGCAGACGCATTTTTCTTTTGATTCCAATACACATATGATTGATGACTTTAGTGCACCATTTAAAGTTTCTGATCATTACATTTGAAAATTAATCTAACAATAAATTTACATTGATTGTAATGTTGTGGAGGCTTGAAAAATGAAAAGGTTTGTAGATGGAGAAAATTCACATCATCAACACATGAACTACACAGTTGTCGGTGGTAAATATAATGGTAGAGAATAATATAATAAACATATTATGAATTGTTGTTTTATTATATTGTTTGAAACTTACGGTGCATAGCGTGAAATATCGGAACTTGGTAAATTGACAACATGACGAAAATCTGATAATAAATATGATGTTTATTATCTATTTAAATAGTAGTACTAAAAGACATGATTCAAGTTGGTGAAGTACATGCTTAGTTATGATCCATGTTATTTTTGTTTTTCAAAATTCACATGTACCTATCCCTATCATAACTTGACCAAAATTGATTAGAGAAAGTTCTCCTACCTACTATTGACCATTCCGAACAATACTACATTGACAGTTTTCCAACTTGTCCAGTAGATCCGGCAGTAATGATGAATTTAGTGAAAACATTTCATCAAAATTACATTACTAAAAATTAATTTCCACAAATACTATTATTATATTGATGGAAAACAATAATGACGATGGTTGGTGAATGATCCGATGATGGAACACCAAATTGTGAATTTCCATCATGAAAAATAAATTCCAATTTCATGATGATAATTCACCAATAAAAATTACTATTATTACTATTATATAGATCATGTTGAGATGATGATGTGAAAGTTTGGTGGTTTCATGATGTAAACCACTCCGAAATCATCATATCCTCCTGAGTAGAAGAATGTTTTTTTTATGAAA